TATAAATTGGGCTTCATTATAAATCAAGAAATAGGAGGGAAAATTGTTTGGCTTGAAAATATTAAAAATATCTTAAATAACTGTGGACTCTCAAATGTATGGCTTGAACAAAACCCAATTAATATTAAATGGTTAAAGGCGAAAGTTAAACTCACATTAATGGATCAATTCAAACAAAGTTGGCAATCAATCCTTCAAACCTCACCCAAAGCTTTAAATTATAGAATATACAAAGACGAACTAAAATTTGAAAACTATTTTAATATTTTATCAAAAAAGGACTTAATAACATTCTGTAGATTCCGAACGTGTAACCATTATTTACCAATTGAAAGTGGACGCTGGTTTAATATACCAAGACAAGATAGAATTTGTCCCCATTGTAATTTAAAAGAACTCGGAGACGAGTTTCATTACATATTAAAGTGCAACTCGCTACAAACAGAAAGAAAACTATGTTTAACAGAAAAACACATAAAATTCCAGAATATAATTAGTTTCAAAAACATTATGAATAACAATAAACACTGCTTTCTAAGAAAATTGTGCTCCTTTGTAAAGAAAATAAATAAAATATGCTCCCCGGCCTAAATTCCCATACTTCACATTTATAGTAACCTACAATTTTTTTTTTTTGTTTTGTTTCTTATTCACGCATGCCTTTCTAGACCTATTGTTGTATATAACATCACCTATGTGTTTTTTGTAGTCTCTGTACGCTATTGTAAAATGGTGAAGAGATTCAAATAAATGATTGGTTGATTTTAATGTTTACGGACTAAAAGAGATTAAATTACTAAATTTCCTCTCATTGCGATACGTAACCCCCCTGAAATGATACAATGCTTTCCTTCAGAGTCGAGAATGGCAGGTCAGGGCAGGTGTTGAAATCCATGATGATTAATCCATAACCTATTATAATATTAACCAATAATCATATGCGATATTGTTTTTAATTCGCAGGTTATCAAATAAATTTAAAAAAAAAGGTCGGCAAAGATTAGTATGCGTTACTAAACTTTCTTTTTCACAAACGTTTTAATTTCTAAACTTGTGCCGATTAGAGTGTACAATCGAGCACCAAAGTGTGTACATGTACTAGTTGTTACCAGTTTTCGCTGCATTTGATTTCCCGAATTTTGCATTGCATTTCCGACAATTAATAATTTTATTTGTTACATTCAGTGTTTTAATTCTGGAGTTTTACACTATTGTTTTTAGCAGTTCAACGTTAACAACGTTAATAGATTATAATTGGAGAAAGTAACACAAGTGATCTATAAAACGAAAGTCAAGCAATAAAAAGTTAAAGTTTGTATTCTGAAAAATAAATCAAGTCAAGTCACACAAAACAAAGACAGGTTGAAACGCTCACACATGGACATACACACAAACGTTTTGGTAACTCGAAATAGTCCAGAGCAAAAATATATTTTCTTGATGACGGAATGTCCAGTACATCTAATGTTCACGTCCGGGATAATCCACGGCAGTTTTATCACACGTATGCAATTATCATACAAATCGAACGCTCTTTGAGGTTGAGGATTGACACTAATTCCTTAGATAAATACGGAGTGACAAATTCCTTTTTACTGTCTTAACTTAACTTGATAGGAAAATAATTTTAGCATATGTTGAAAATAAGCATTAGAAATAATTCTTTTCATAAAATTCAATTCTGTTACATTTCAATTGAATTTGTAAAATTAACTTTATGACGATTGTCTAGCTGCAGATCTGTAGCTCGCTAGCTGTTCTAAAAAAATTGAGATGGATCACCAGAGAGCTACAGTGCCGCCCATATTATCTCAAATTCAGGCTCAGAAGGACTATTAAAAACGGTTGTAAGGAATGTTTAACTGTAGAAAAATTGAAGGAATTTGCTAGAGACACACGGTAAATTATATTTTTAGATTCAAGCAGTTGAAAAACACGAATATTGAATATAGCTTCAGCGCAATTTTTTCTAATATTTTCTAATTTTTTATTTTTTATTCGTATTTCTCAATTTATCATGTCCAAATAACGTGTCTTTATTTTTATTAGGGCACATTAAACCTTATTTGTCAACCAGTCTGACAGTGTCCATCTGTCACGAGAACTTTAAACTTGATAATAACTATTGAATGAGTTGAAATAGGACTTTCATATTTCACATGTGCATTATTTGTGACATGTGATTTTCAAATATACTGTGATTTTTAACTCTGTGACCTTGATCTTGGAGCTTGACCTACTTAAAAAATAACATTACTTTAATTTGACCATAACTATTGAAAGCTTTCATTTTATAAACATGTACATGTATAACCTGTGTCAACGCCTTTGAAAATTCATTATGATTTTGACCCTTTGACCTTGAAGTTTGACCCGCTTTTCAAAAACATTAACTGTAGTCATACCTTTTAAATGAAAAGAGATCGAGATCGATAAGGGCTTTTATTTTACCACTGTGTATTACCTGTAACAACATTTTTGTAAATACCGATGCACTGATTTTGACAACGTGACCTTGACGCTTGACTTACTTTTCACAATTTCAATCTTGATCATAACTTTTGAATGAGAAGAGATAGGTTTTTCGTATTACACAAAAATCAAATGTATGTAACCTGTGATAAAAACTTTCAAATACTAGCATATAATAAACTTTGACCTTGAAGTTTAACCGGCTTTTCCAAAATTTAAACATTGCTTAAAATTGACCATGACTTTCGATAAAGGAAGGATAACGCGTTCATACCTAGATTTACACATTTATACACGTATTAGCTGTGACAAGGCCTATCGAAAAAAGTATAGCTTAAGAATTCGTCAATACGGTAGCACACAAATGGGCTTTGCTTATCACCAGCGTGTGTCATGGTGTGACTTAAGGTCATTTTAACAAGGTCAAGGTCGCAAACATTCCTTTACTATCTTTTTTAATAGTAAAAATAGTAAAAACTTAAATAAGATGAGATCTACCCTTAAAAGATTGCTTTAACATTAGAACGTGGCATGACCTTGACCCAAGGTCATTTCTCCCTGTACGCAGCTCTGACGGAAGACCTACTCGTTGCTTTGCAACGAGCTCGGCTCTAGTTTTTTTTTGTTTTTGTTTTTTTGTTTTTTTTTTAAAGATTTTCTCTACCTGTTTTTTTTTTTTTTATCAGGAAGAAAAAATGAATTTCTAATTTTAAGTGGGTAAATGCTTTTTGTGTTTTCTAGAGTCTCGTTTTATGCTTGATTATTAGTGTTTTATGCCGAGTCGGCAAAATTTTACCTATATTTTGGCGGTAAGTCTCGTTTTAAGTTAATGTGGGAGGATTTATATATATTAATTACATTTATTAAATTTTGCATTTAACTACGTTTCTAAAATAATTGAACGATGTTTTTGAGATTAAAGTAGGTTAGTTAGTGTTCGCAGGTGGATTGAGTTGGTGAGCATTTTCTTTGATTTACTATTGGTTAAGAATTTTCATTGACTGTTTTCATAATGAACCATCAAATAAGATCGTTCCTTTTGTATTATAAGCTAGCCAAATCTAAATTCAAATCACTGCAGATCCGGCGCCCTGATTAGACACTTCCACCTCGCACAAGGTATTTTATTATTATACAAATATGGACTCAATGTAGGTCAATATGCATTTATAATGACCCAGGATGACAGATATTGACCGAAGATACATGTAGTATATCGACCGAGGGCGCTAGCCCGAGGTCGATATACTTCATGTATCTGAGGTCAATATCTGTCATCCTGGGTCATTATAACTGCATATTGACCGTGCATTGAGTCCATATTTATTATATTATATAAATAATAATTTCCCAAATTTATTAGTGCAATATATATCATCCTATTATTTACAGAGATAGTATTAACCATAAATAAGTTGAATGTAAATGTTTCAGAATTCATTGAATATTACTCAGAGGAAATTGTTTTGGCAATAAATTTCCCATATCATAATAATGACGCAAGATATCTATCTCCGAATAACACAGAGTACCCCCTCCCCAAGATTGAAAATCGCTCTCGTTTACACTTGCAGACGAAATGCACTGACAAAATATAAATACCTATGTCTTCTAAGAATAGATACAATCTTACATGGTATGCTTGTCTATATTTTCTTTAGTCTCCGTTATCGCGTACACAGCGTCAACACTCTGCTGGCTGAGTGGAAAGGTCGAACTCAACCATGAAATGGTATGTGCAAATTATTCCCGAAAAATATTCACAAAAATCCTAGTAATTGTTTTGTATTATCAGTCTCAGAGTTCTTCACTATATGTTTTAAATTTTCCTCACCTACAACTTGCGAACTTCCATGTTTGTCTAAAGCGAAAGTGAAAACGAGGCAGCTCGCGCGAGTCATTATTCGCTTTCAGTGGTCGTTATTAAAAAATAAGTACTTCGTATTGACCAATCAGATTACCGGATTTCACAAAGTTATATAATATATAATTATAACTTTAAATTACACTTTTTTTAGTAAATGAACGACTAAGATTATCAGTAATAAAGTTTAATATGTATTTACTTGTCATACGTAATGCATTAATATGTATAAATTGTATAATGTACTTATATTTTTTTGTAGAATCACCTTATATGTTTTGTAAATAAATATAGAAACATACATCGACATCTTTATTTCACTCGGTCACATTAAGATGTTATATAAAGATATTTATATTGCTTTTTTTTTTTAAATTTGCATCAGAGAGTACCAGTATCTGTACGGAAAATGCAATTAAATTGAGCGTTTAGTTAATTTATCAATGCTATCAAATTAAGAATGCTTAAAGTGATGAAAAATAGAATATTAAACAGCAGTTTTCAGTTTAATTTATCTTGTATCCAAGGACAGATTAATCTAACTGCGTAAATTACCAAATGATTAAAACTCATATATGTTTTTTTTTTGTTATGAAGAGTCCTTATTGAGTATTTTTCCTATAATATACTGCGCACCTGAAATAAGACTGAATTTTATTCGTACCTCCAAGACAGAGTGAATTTGTTTTTGTTCCAGGTTGAGCTGGACTCTCCCCTCGGGATAAAATCGTCATACCGGTCACCATTATAGTTCCCACACATGCCCTCTACGTTCTGAGCGTCCAGGGTAGAGGAGACTATTTGAATAGACGTGATCCATCTAGACCTTCTATTAATGTAGAAGCCAATCTCAGTGCCACTTCCCAGCGTCACCTAGAATACATCGAAATACATGTATTATACAAATACTGCCGTAGAAACCAATCTCAAAAACCACTTTCTAGGGTTACCTGTAGTACTTTAATGCGAATATATATGTTCAAGAACAAACATATTGAATAAGTAAGAAGAGTTAATATATATATTAATAACATGAAGTATAATTCTGTTAAATAAAAAATGCATGTAAATGTCCTCCTTTCGTTGGGTTTTTATTTTTCTATCCTCTCTCTAGTTGTTCTACTGACGATTTATCCATGCATAAAGATCAGACATTAGATACATCCTTGTCTTACCATAGTTTAGCATACTCATATCGTAATCAAAGTACTGAAAGTACTCATGGGAGTTGAACATTGTTATCTGAAAGATCTCACAGGAAGTATAGGAACATCTTCATGCATTCAGATTCAAGTCAGCTAGAAATGATTTGTTAGAGATACAAAACGAAACATTAAAAATGATTTCTATTGCATTTAAATAGCCAAGATCATGGGACTGCTCTTAAATTAGCTGCAGAATTGTAGCTCTCCGAAAAAAAAAAATTGACAGACCGGAGAGCTACAGTGCTATCCATTGAAAAAACTGTACATGTATGTTTATTGCGCACGAACAGTTAAGTTTAGTTCTGGATTAATTCTTTTTATTCTTACCTCAACAATTTGACCAAACCAAACAAACAACCCCCATCACCAAAAGAAAAAAAAATTCAATCTCGAAAATACTATTTTTGTTGTTAGGTTTTAAACTTCTTTCAGTACCATTTATGACTAAAGCTCAAACACTACCCTAATATTTCTGAAACATTTGAATCAAAACGCCCCCTACTCTCTTTAGAATGTGTACAAGATATTTGGTCCCAAGAAACAAACAAATAAACACTCTATATATTCGATGTTACCATCACCAGACACTAGATTGTCATTTTTCTTCCTCTGATTCAAACAAGTATTTGCTATTGTCTTTTGGGTATGAATGTTTCTTTTCGGACACAATAATTAATTTCTATAGAACTCCGTGCTTATCTATTTTATCAAATGTATACATCTTTATAACTTAATCATCAAGTTTTGTTATTCCATAATTTTAAATTTCATTTCAAGTAATATCTAGGTAGAAGTAAGTATGTCTGAATACTTTACATTTTTTTGTTTAACGTTCGATAATTTTTCAATCACATTGAAACACTTAGTTACATGTAAGTCTACAATTTTTTACCTATACACGGCTCTCAAAACCATTGAGTAGTGAGGGATCGTTATGTGCAAGCACATACTGCGACATGGGATTTCGGTTTATATTGTCTCATCAAAAGAGTTAATCTCTAAATGCATCCCGCAGGATTCGAACCTGCGACGTAAGGATCATTTAACACATTACGTTGAATCTCTAGAGCAAACTATTTTAACAACTGCGCCACGCGAGTGAGACTTAAAGTTTGTGATTTTGATTTGATTCAAATGTAATTAAAAATCAGACATAGTTTAACGAGCTACTACAAGATAAACTAGAGGTACTGTGAGCGATGAGCTCACTAAATGATACCCCCCGCCACCCATATGATTATAACTGGTGAAAAAATGTTTTCCTGTGGCCGGGAAACCCAAAATATGTGTCGGATCAAAAAGTAAAATAGGAGGTGCACAATGGCAATATGTAATAAAGATTCTGTGAAAGTTGCATCAAATTTCATTCAGTGGTATGAGAGGAGTTGCGGATAGGAAATGGGTACCCCAAAGCGTAACAGACGGACGGACGGACAGACCGAAGGACAGACAGACGGACAGACGTACAGACGGACGGAATTAACGATTACTATATACCCTCCCGCTTTTCAAGCGAGGGTATAAAAATAGTTGTAATCATGAGGATCGATCTTTCTCACATTTCGATCATTGGGATTATCATACCATTGTGTCTGTGCATACGCATGTATTCATTATACCCCCCGCTTGAAAGCGGGAGGGTATATAGTAATCGTTAATTCCGTCCGTCCGTCTGTCCGTCCGTCCGTCTGTACGTCCGTCCGTCCGTCCGTCCATCTGTTACGCTTTAGGGTACCTATCTCTTATCCGCAACTCCTCTCATACCACTGAGTGAAATTTAATGAAACTTTCACAGATTCTTTATTACATGCCATTGTGCACCTCCTATTTCACTTTTTGATCTGACACATATTTTGGGTTTCCCGGCCATGGCAAATCATGGACTTTGTCATCAGTTATAACCATATGGGAGGCGGGGGGTATCATTTAGTGAGCTCATTGCTCACAGTACCTCTAGTTAATCTTATAATAACTGTTTTAATTATATAATAAAATCAAATGATACAATTTATAAGGTAATACTGCAATACAAGTACACACACACATTTTTCAAGTTCAGATTTGGTGTTGTACACATGACCAACTGAATGCTGTTAAATTCATGAAATTAAGGATGCAAAATTAATGTCATTTGAAATTTTGTGATCGTATATCAACAAACTTTAATGCTATTATTTTTTTCCCTTTACCAACGTAAAAAAATGAGTTGCATGTATCTGGTTTGACAAAAATTTTCCAGTCTAACAGATCATTTTACTTGTCAGAGCAAATAAATATTTTCCGCAGTGTTTTTTTTTTAAAGAAATGTTGTTCTGTCTCTTTATTGCTGAAATAAATTGAAAGAAGTTTGGTTAAACCTTAGCGTTCCTTTCCTTACATCTTTGTTTACGTCTCTATATTTAGACAATCGCGTCATTGTCAAACCAGTTAGACCAGTTGTTGCTCCTTGGATGACCTAGCACTTTTTGTAATGAAGCGTAGTGGAGTCAGCCGCGAGGATTGCCGAATGATAAATGTCGGAAAACTGGGACTTTTTTTTCATACGGAAATCAAAATTTATGTGTCATTTCTCAAGAAAGATGACAAAAACATGCTATTCAAATTAAGTTTAATAAAATTCTATTTCATTTACTTTCAAATCATTTATGAAAATTAGATTAATTCAGAAAAATGACATGGACTATTTTTATTGCTGAAGTTTCTTCGAGTTTATATAGACTGGTACGAGTTTGTATTGAATATCACAGGGGAGTAAATTGGGCGACACAGAAACACCACGACGACCGCTATATAATTCATTGTACAATTACTGCGCTAGAAACCGCGTGACAGCCTAGGGAGTCTGAACATAGTTCAATTCCCAAAAATGTAAAATGAAATGAAACGTTAAACTTACCCTGTACCAGGAATATCTTTTCTGCACCACCATTTCGTCTTCATTACAACCGCTGTACATTTCAAATGGAATTCTCTTGAGTTTTTTTCGTCGGTATGATATTTCTACGCAGGTGCGAACAACATACAAGCTACTTCCGCTTCTAATTGCAACACCGCATGCACAGGAAGCTCTTCTCCAACGAAAGCACGAAGAGTATAAGACATGGACCTATTCAACAGAGAGAAAAATGATTGCTAATTAAATCAATGAATGTCCGTATTGGAAATCACCTGGAATTTTAAATTGAAACATACAGAATACGGCAATTTTTTATGCTGGTACATAACGAATTCTCCAATTCTCTGGTTGGAATAAAAACGTCGATCAAAGGTGGAGAGGTACGGATCACTGAAGGAGTAGCAGTAGTGTCCTCCCCATTTAGATTTATCATAGACAGAAACCTGCAAATTGAATCTGTACATTTATATAATGAATTCTTTAACATGAGATAAGCGTATTTAAAGATTGTGATCTTTTTTGTTAAGTGCTAGGGATTTTTTAAAAATATACTGAAATCTTTAAATATATATAAGATCATGATGTACCCATATAGTCTGCGGAACATAGATATTATTCCAGGCATTAGAAACATCTGTTGGGTTTGTGGAAGATTCCAGCTTTATTCCTCCGTATCGCCTCCGCCAGTTGCGTCTTCCATCTACGTACCCTGTGATGTTGAGTTGTACGGGTTCCCGCCAGTACTTGTACGGAAAGGACAACATGCAGCCATTATCTGGAAATGCTACATTCAAATTGGTGATACCGTTCCGACACCAACGCCAATCCAGGGAGCGGATGTGTAGATTTCCCTTACATTTAGCCTCTTTATCAGAATCTGTCATTGAGGCAGAGCAGCCAACCGGAAGCGTACTTGTGACCGACACAGAAACGCTTTCTCCTTCTTCAACAGTGGTCCATGTTGTACTGAACTTAAATTTGAAAAAAAACACGGGACATTATATGTTTACATTGTAAATAACCAAGCTTTGCATGAAAAATTTAACGTTTAAAAAATTAGGTTGACAAAGATTATATATATATATATATATATATATATATATATATATATATATATATATATATATATATATAGAAGTCCATGAATTCACAGTGGTCGGTATAATTGTATAGTACTTTCAAATGAAAAAAATGAAAAAATGAAAGCGCTAATGCTTTACTTTGTTGTCTTCGTGTTTTCTTTTTAATTATTTTTTTAATATATATATATATATATATATATATATATATATATATATATATATATATATATATATATATATATATATATATATATATATATATATATATATATATATATATATATATATATAAAAGCACTAAAAAACCAACTTCACTGTATATCCTAAATGTCGGATCTACCAAGTAGATACAAGGTCACGGATGGAAATTTATATAAAGCACTAAAATGACCAACGACACGAACAATAAAAATTGACAAACTTAGTTACATGTTGAATTGGAAAATTTTAAAAATTCTTAAAAATTTCCAATTCAACATGTAACTAAGTTTCTAAATATATAGTGTTTAGTAGTAGTGCTAGTTGTTTTTGTTTTTCTTTTAATTTTCCTTTGTTCTTATGACCTTTGAACTTTTTTCTTTGTCCTGAGGAAGGGACAGGGCGTCCCGAAAATTTGACAATTTTTATTGTTCGTGTCGTTGGTCATTTTAGTGCTTTATATATATATATATATATATGTGTGTGTGTGTGTGTGTGTGTGTGTGTGTGTGTGTGTGTGTGTGTGTGTGTGTGTGTGTGTGTGTGTGTGTGTGTGAGTGTGTGTGTGTGTGTGTGTGTGTGTTGTAGCTTACCTTTATGCCTGCGAAAAAGGTTGAACTTTTAAATGATTCTCCAGCAGGGCTGCATTTCACGTACTGGGCGCTCACTGAACATCTTACCTTAAAAGCAAATATCCATTCTAACTAAGCAGTAAAACAATCAGAAACAAATGAGCATGGTACAATTTACTCGTGTAATGTACAGTAAAAGCGATGAAATTAATAACTTTGCAGAAGGTATAAGCTAAGCCTCTATAGTAAGTTTTGTTTTCTCGTCACTTACATCCATGTTCATGCTATAGCGATGTGTCCAGTGTGAAGGACGGAGTACTGTAGTGTTAAGGTCAGCCTCGGCCACGTCATCAAATAAAGCTTTTTCCAATAGATTGTTGTTGATAAACCATTTAAGATTGTAAAAAAGGCCGGACAAGGGCTTCCAGAAGAGACAGATCATCACAGGCTCGAATCTAGTACCGTCTGTAGAAAGTTGTCGATCGGCAACGACCTCAGGGGATAGGATGACTGTCGGTTTCCCAACCAAATCTTTAATTATAAAATAAAATGTCTTTATAGGACATAGCAAACCTTCAATCAACCACTACGGTGCTAATATTCCCGTAACTATATTTCTCTTGGAAATGAAATAAGGATGGGATAAAAGATCCCTGGATAAATATCATACTTAAAAGATTGATATAAAATCATTAAGAGATAAGAATTTATTTACTATTTAAAATGCAAGCATTTGATTGGATGATTCAAGGTTAGTAAGGTGTTATTCTAATGCATGCGCGTCACCGCATTTCATTGATAATAATAAAGTGGTCAATTAATACATCTCGAATACACTTACCCAGTGCATTAAGTGTAGTGGCCACATTGACTGTTGGGGTGGAATTTGCAGCAGAATCCTCTGTTGTTGTATTGTGAGATTTCGGTGTGTTTTCAGGCGTCGTAGAGTCCGTGACATTATAATCCTCGGTTGATGAGTAGTCCGTTGTGTTGTAAACTTCTGCTGTTGTGTAATCAGTTATGTTATAATCCTCTGTCGATGTAAAGTCCGTTGTGATATAATCCTCGGTTGATGTAGTATTATAATCTTCAGTGGATGTAAAGTCCGTAGTATTATAATCTTCAGTGGATGTAAAGTCCGTAGTATTATAATCTTCAGTGGATGTAAAGTCCGTGGTGTTATAATCCTCCGTGGATGTAAAGTCCGTAGTATTATAATCTTCAGTGGATGTAAAGTCCGTAGTGTTATAATCCTCAGTAGATGTAAAGTCTGTAGTGTTATAGACTTCAGTGGATGTAAAGTCCGTGGTGTTATAATCCTCCGTGGATGTAAAGTCCGTAGTGTTATAATCTTCAGTGGATGTAAAGTCCGTAGTGTTATAATCCTCTATGGATGTAAAGTCCGTAGTGTTATAAACTTCAGTGGATGTAAAGTCCATTGAGATATAATCCTCGGTTGATGTAGTGTTATAATTCTCAGTAGAGTCCGCAGTGTTATAATCCTCGGTCGATGTAAAGTCTGTAGTGTTATAATCCTCAGTGGATGTAAAGTCCGTTGTGTTATAATCTTCAGTGGATGTAAAGTCCGTTGTGTTATAATCTTCAGTAGATGTAAAGTCCATAGTGTTATAATTTTCAGTGGATGTAAAGTCCGTAGTGTTATAATCCTCGGTGGATGTAAAATCCGTTGTGTTATAATCCTCAGTTGATATAAAATCCGTTGTGTTATAATCCTCTGTGGGTGTAAAATCCGTGGTGTTATAATCCTCGGTGGATGTAAAATCCGTAGTGTTGTAATCCGCGGTGGATGTAAAGTCTGTTGTGTTATAGTCCTCAGTGGATGTAAAGTCCGTGGTGTTATAATCCTCTGTGGGTGTGAAGTCGGTACTGTTATAATCCTCGGTGGATGTTAAGTCCGTAGTGTTATAATCTTCAGTGGATGTAAAGTCCGTTGTGTTATAATCTTCAGTAGTTGTAAAGTCCATAGAGTTATAATCTTCAGTGGATGTAAAGTCCGTAGTGTTATAATCCTCAGTGGATGTAAAGTCCGTAGTGTTATAATCCTCAGTTGATATAAAATCCGTTGTGTTATAATCCTTTGTGGGTGTAAAGTCCGTGGTGTAATAATCCTCGGTGGATGTAAAATCCGTCATGTTGTAATCCTCGGTGGATGTAAAGTCTGTTGTGTTATAGTCCTCAGTGGATGTAAAGTCCGTGGTGTTATAATCCTCTGTGGGTGTGAAGTCGGTAATGTTATAATCCTCGGTGGATGTAAAGTCCATTGTGTTATAAACCTTGGTGGGGGTAAAGTCCGTTGTGTTAAAATCCTTTGTGGGTGTAAAGTCGGTAGTGTTATAATCCTCTGTGGGTGTGAAGTCGGTAGTGTTATAATCCTCGGTGGATGTAAAGTCCGTTGTGTTATAATCCTCGGTGGATGTAAAGTCCGTTGTGTTATAATCTTCAGTGGATGTAAAGTCCGTTGTGTTATAATCTTCAGTGGATGTAAAGTCCGTAGTGTTATAATCCTCAGTGGATGTAAAGTCCGTAGTGTTATAATCCTCAGTTGATATAAAATCCGTTGTGTTATAATCCTCTCTGGGTGTAAAGTCCGTGGTATTATAATCCTCGGTGGATGTAAAATCCGTCATGTTGTAATCCGCAGTGGATGTAAAGTCTGTTTTGTTATAGTCCTCAGTGGATGCAAAGTTCGTGGTGTTATAATCCTCGGTGGATGTAAAGTCCGATGTGTTGTAATTTGCGGTGGATGTTAAGTCCGTTGTGCTATAATCCTCGGTGGATGTAAAGTCCGTAGTGTTAAAGTCCTTAGTAGATGTAAAGTCCGTAGTGTTATAATCTTCAGTGGATGTAAAGTCCGTAGTGTTATAATCCTCTGTGGGTGTGAAGTCGGTAGTGTTATAATCCTCGGTGGATGTGAAGTCCGTTGTGTTATAATCCGCGGTGGATGTAAAGTCCGTTGTGTTATAATCATCTGTGGGTGTGAAGTCGGTAGTGTTATAATCCTCTGTGGGTGTGAAGTCGGTAGTGTTATAATCCTCGGTGGATGTAAAGTCCGTTGTGTTATAATCCTCGGTGGATGTAAAGTCCGTTGTGTTATAATCCTCTGTGGATGTAAAGTCCGTTGTGTTATAATCCTCTGTGGGTGTATAATCCTCTGTGGGTGTAAAGTCCGTGGTGTTATAATCCTTGGTGGATGTAAAGTCCGTAGTGTTATAATCCTCGGTGGATGTAAAGTCCGTTGTGTTATAATCCTCTGTGGGTGTGAAGTCGGTAGTGTTATAATCCTCGGTGGATGTAAAGTCCGTTGTGTTATAATCCTCTGTGGGTGTGAA